TCCGGCCTCGCCGAGCACGACGACGCGCCCCGCCACAGCGCCCGCAGCGGGGCCCGCCTCCGGACCAGCCCGGCCGCCGCCATGCGCGACTCACGGCTCGGCCGTCCGATTGGGCGCGCGGGCCACCGTCCCACCGGCACGCTACCGAATGGCCTGCTGGGAAGTGTAGTTCTTCACCGAGACCAAGGCGAGGCGTCCCCCAGCGGCAGGAGGCGACATCGCAGGATGGCGACAGGCTGCCAGTCGGGGGAAGGTCTGCCCGGCTCCCCCAGGAGGCTCCTCTAATGCCCACCCTCCCCTGCAAAACAAGATGCTCACTCTGGGTCTCCATTCAAACGCCTTCTTTCTAAGCCCCCAGTGGCTGGTCAGGAGAGACAAGAGAGGGCTGCTTGCAAATCCAGAGGAAGGCCAAACACCCCCCCCCCAGCAATCACACAAGGCAGACAGGCACCTTTCACTCAATTGGCAAGGGTGGGGGGGAGTCAGGGTTATTTAGGGTCGCCAGGTACCCCCTGCTGCTGGCATGGGGTGGGGTATAAGGTTATAAGGGTATAAGGTTGCCAGCAGCTCGCTGGGGAAGTGGAAATTTGGGAGTGGAGTGCGGGGAGGACAGGATCCTTAGTGGGGTACAAGTGCCTTATACTCTTCAAAACATCCCTTTTCTCCAGGGGAACTGACCCTTGTAGTCTGGAGATGAGCTGTAAATTCCAGGGGATCCCCAGGGCCCACCAGGAGGCTGGCATCCCTAGGGTTATTGCCGGAGACAGACTGGGAGCCTGCCGCCACACTCCCTATTCTGGAAGAGGAAAGCACTCTCTATTCTTTTCATAGTGGCAATTTGGGTGATTTGCCAAAATGATTTTGTTTTTACTTTGTGAACCACAGTGAGCAGGCCTCGTCTTCTACCAATCCTTCCACTTCAGTTCATCACCCTGTTTTCAGCCAGAGGCTTCTTCCCGCTCTCCATGGTCCTGATCCGTTTCCCCTCTGAGTTAGTGTGAGCTAGCTCACAGTTTTTTAGCCTCCGGCTCACCCATTTTTGTCTTGACTGTGGAAGAATGGCTCCTGAGCAAACTAAAAATTATGCCTTCACCAAATCGCTCGCTCACAACTTTAATGCCAGTAGCTCACAAAGTACAATTTTTGCACACAAGATTCCACAGCTCAGAGGGAGCATTGATCCTGATCAGTGTTCCCTCTAAGCTGAGTGAGTGTGAGCTAGCTCACAGTTTTTTAGCCTCCGGCTCACACATTTTTGTCTTCGCTCAGGAAGGAGGGCTCCAAAGCAAGCTAATTTATGCAGCAGCCAAATCACTAGCTCACAACTTCAATGCCAGTAGCTCACAAAGTAGACATTTTGCTCACAAGACTCCACAGCTTAGAGGGAACACCGGTCCTGATCCACTTCTTGCTTTGTCAGCATTTTTATGTTGCTTTGGTTCTCCTGGTGGCACTCTGAAATGACACCACCCCCACCCCATGTTTTTTGCTTTCTTCAGAATGCTCATGAGTCATGCTGGTGCCTATCCTAGATCAAAGAGAAAGTTACAAGAAAAATCTAACCCTGACCAGGAAGGGATGGGCATGAATAATATAACCACCACCACCCCAAGTTAAAACCAGGGACCCACCAACACAACAATTTCAAAGTTTATTCAGAAAACGATCCACCTCTTTCTAACATGTTCACCAAGATCCAGTTCTGTCCTCCCACTGCACAAGCAGAGGGCAGCATTTATACACAACTTTGTTCTTTCCAGTAATTGTCCTGTGTGCCCAAAGGGATCCCAGAAGTAAAACTCAGAAGCTGAGTCCTGGCCACAGCTGGCGGTGCACCCCAAAAAGCAGGAGCAGTTCCAGGAGAACTATTCTGGAGCAGGAGGGACTCTGACTTCCTCGTCATCCCTAGAGCCTTGGCTGCCATCTTCTGTTTCTGAAATAGGGACTGGGGAGCTGCGTGAGGCTTCCTGTGGAGATGTGGGAAGTTCCAAGTCCAGTGGAGATGCTGAGCTTTCTTGAGCCAGCCCTTTCTCCTTATCCAGGAGAAAGGCTGCCTCTTTGTCAGGCAGGATTGGGGCCAGGAGCTCCTGAATGGCATGCTCATCCACACAGCCAAAGTTCCCATATTTCTGCAACTGAATAGGGGGGACACCTAGTAGGAGGGGGGGAAAAGGCAAAGAGTAGCTGTCTAAAGTCATACATTTAGAGGAAACTATCAAGACTCAAATACAACTATTCAAAACTGCTTCCACTGCTTTCCCCACAAAAAGTACCCAAACTGCAAAATGTAAAACTCCCTCCCACAAGAGACTTCCTGTCCATCTCTGATTAGGACCCCCACTCTACCCTGTATTTAGTAGGCCCAGTGGCTTGCATCCCGTTGCAACACGGCAGGGCTTCATAGGGTGACTAAAAAGCACTTCCTTCCTTCCATCCAACCCCACCCCCCACCACACACACACGCACACCCAAAGGCAGCCATACCCAGAGTCTGTGCAATTTGGGCTGGTGGAAAGAGCAGCTGAAGGCACCGGTTGAGATAGGGCACCAAATCTTCTAGAAACGTCATGCAGAACTGAGCAAACAGTTCCTGCTCTCGGCTGCTGAAAGCCACCTCCTCTGCTCGGTGGAAAGCCAGGATAATTTTTGTTACCTATGGAAAGAGATGGGAAACCTTCATCTTACATGGTGAGGGAAGCTCCACTAGCAGATGAAGTGAACAAATTCACTCCTGGACTCTGAGCCCAGATAATGGCTCCAGGACATCCACTGTAACTGGAGCTGCAGTCCTAAGAACGCTTTCCCAGGAGTAAGCCCCAGACTCACTATAAAGTAAACCTCCTTAGCATTGCTCCCAGGGTGGCTGGAACCACTCGCTTCCCCACTGCAGACAAACAACAACAGCAGGATACAAAGCTGAAGTGGCAAACGTCGCTTTTCTCCCCAGAAAGTAGATGAATCTGAGGAGCCCAACCCACCAGCTGCCTCTACACACTCCATTCTGCCACCAAGACACGGGGAATCTTTCTTCCAACCGTTGAGGCACAAGGGAAACAGCTTCACCTGGTGCAGGGCGTCCTCCATGGCAACGGCCACGTCTTGAGCAAGGGCCACTGGGCAGCAGAGACGCAGGTCATTGAAGGCCACCAGGATGTTGTTGAGGAAGCAGGCAAGCGGTGGGAAGTCCAGAAGCACAACAGGGGGCTGCAGCGTGGCTGGTTGGGCCACTGGCACTGCCACAGGGATTGTGCTGTTCAGGAAGGTAGGTGCAGAGATCAGTGTGTAGGAGTCCATTTCTTCCTGGAACTTATTCACGCCCTCCTGCACAGCTTTCTGGAAGGTCTGCAGGGCCACTTGCTGGAAAATGGGGGCCAGCTGACCCCGGAAGTCTGCTCCCACGCGGCTGAAGGAAAGGCCGAAGTACATGCACTGGCCCAGGAGGGAGTCCAGGCGGCCACCCACTCCGCACTGCAAGTCGCGCTCTAGGACCTGAAGGAACTGAGAGACCTTCTGCAAAACCCACCCATGGAAGATGGCACTTTCGTTGAGGACCTCCTGCCCAGAGGGAGGCACGAGAGGCTCCTCGTCTGCAAAAATGGCCCGATACTGTGTGATGATGTCAAAGAGGTGGACGCGGTATGCCTCAATGGTCTTGGTGATGTGCATGTAGGGGTTGTCGTCTGGGATCGCAGCAAGGATGGAGCGCAGCCAGATGTCTCGTGCCTGCAGGAAGGTGATGCGCAACTCAGCCTCTGTGAAAACATCCATGCAACGCAAGTAGCCAATGAGCCGCAAGCAGGCTGGCAGCTGGATGTTGGTGCGCAGTTGCTGGATCAGCTGGGTCAGCATGAGCTGTGTTGACTGGCGCACCTCTGCCACTATGCTCTACGGAGGAAAAGAAAGGTAACAGATATCCTACTCAGACTTCTCTGGAAACCTGAGCTGGAGAGATGGTCTGGCCAGCCCAGAATCAGCTTTTACTCCAGTTTTCAGGGTGAGCAAAACACAGAAACTCTCAGCAGCTAAAGGTACATGACGTCAATAAATCTTACTTACAGCTCTTTCTTAACAGCATAAAGCATGTCGTTCTAATATCTCACTAACCACCACCTAACCCAGCATTTTTTCTCACTCAATTCCAGCAGTTCACAGGCACACATGGTCTATCAAAAACTGGCTAGCATGGAGTGGGCTGTGGCACACCTGGATGACGGGGATGTCGGCGTGCTTCTTCTCCAGGCGGCGGACATAGGCCACCAGCCCCAGGGCCTCTTCGTGGTAGCTGTTCCGCACGCAGGTGTCCATCAGCTGCGGGATCTCCAGCACCTCCAGGATCTCCGTGTGGCGGTTCAGTGTCAGGCTGTTCATGCGGCGGCTCTGGGCGATCTGCTCGGCCTCGCGGGAGAAGTTCCTGCGGGCAGAGAGAGACCCAGATCAGGCCCAGCCTAGGAAGGAAGGAAGGAAGGAAGGAAGGAGGGACGCAAAGGCCCGACGCCGACACCCTCCCCCTCCCACCCGCCCGCCCCCCGGGCGCCAGGCGGCCCAGGAGGCGGTCGAGGCCCTCCTCGATGCCCGCGAAGCCGCGGCGGGTGCCGGCCGTACACTCGGCGGAGCGGATGAAGGTCTTGTAGTGGGCGAAGGCCAAGGCCCGCGTCTGCGCTCCCAGCTGCGCCCGCTCCTCCGCCAGCCGGGCCGGCTCCCTCCGCAGCACCTCCAGGCCCAGCCCCGACAGCTCGGCTAGGTAGGCCGACAGCTCCGCGTCCCCCGCCGGCGGCGGCGGCGGTGGCGGCGCCCTCCGGAACAGCCAGGCCAGCAGGCTCGCCTCCTCCAGGTCGGCCCCACCGGGCCCCAGCGAAGCCGCGGCCGCCGCCATCAGGCCTCGACGTGGAACGGGAAGTGGTTGCTGCGGCAACCGCGGCGGCTCCGGGAGAAACTTCCGGTTTCTGATAGCTACTTCCTTTGCAGACCGGATATTCGGGCGAGCGACGCTCGCTCCCTCCCTCCCTAAGCGTGCGGCGACAGGAGCCGCTTCCCGAAGGTGGGGCGAATGTCGTCACTTCCGAAAAGCTCTTCCCTCAGTTGGCCGCGGGTGCGTCCGGGCTCCGGAACTGCCGGCCTCGGTCGCTGTTGCGCAGCCGGGCTCAGTTGGCGGTTACACCTTCCGGCTTCCTTCTGCTCGGCGTGTGCTGGCGAGGCGATGCGGCCGCTGACGGAGGAGGAGACCCGCGCGCTCTTCGAGAAGCTCGCCCGGTAGTAAGTTGGGCCGGGCCGCCTCGCCTCCCTCCCTCCCGTTCTTCCTTCCTTCCCTCCCCGCCTCTTCGGGGCCTTGACGGGGAGTCTCTCCTTCTCTCTTCCTCTCCAGCGTGGGCGAGAACCTGCAGCTGTTGGTGGACCGGCCCGACGGCGCCTACTGCTTCCGCCTGCACAGGGACCGTGTCTACTACCTCAGGTGAGTGCCTCTGCCGGGGCGCCCGAGAGGAACCCTTCTTCTTCTTGGCCCGTCTGCTGCCTGCTCCGGGACTTCGGGTCGGGCGCCTTCCAGCCGCGCCCCCTTCCTCCCCCCACCCCCCCGAGTTCGATCACGACCCGAGGATCTGTGGCCGGGGCTCCCAAGGCGCCACGCCCGGGCTCAGGACCAGTGATCCCTCTAAGCTGACAGCTTAGAGGGAACATTGCTCAGGACTTGCTGCTGAACGCCCTTGTGATCTCTGTTGCTTAGCGAGAGGATCCTGAAGCTTGCCACCAGCATCCCGCGGGAGAACCTGGTGGCCCTGGGCACCTGCTTTGGCAAGTTTACCAAGACCCAAAAGTTCCGGCTCCACGTCACTGCCCTAGATTACCTTGCTCCCTATGCCAAGGTAAAGACTTTGACCTAAATTGGGTGGGGGGGTCTGCATTATTTCTATGTGGGAAGGTGTTTTGGCCACCACCTGAACGTTCTGATCCACCAGACATTGAGGGGCATGAAATGGAAGACCAAATAATAACTAATTTGATTGTGCCAAATTAAGGCACGCATGGGAGGGTTTGAACCACTTAGTGGCAGAATAAATCCCCTCCCACCAAGTAGATGAGTTTAGGCAGTTTATGCCTCATATTACACATCTATATCCAATCTTTGGGTTTTTCTCTTCCTCAGTACAAAGTGTGGGTAAAGCCCGGTGCAGAACAGTCCTTCCTTTATGGGAACCACATACTGAAATCTGGCCTGGGACGGATTACGGAGAGCACGACCCAGTACCAGGGCGTGGTGGTGTACTCTATGGCTGATGTGCCCCTGGTGAGTGATGGTGGGTGGATGGGTCAGTCTTTGTGGTTTGGTGCCAGTTTGGTGTAGTGGTTAAGTGCACAGACTCTAATCTGGGAGAACTGGGTTTGATTCCCCACTCCTCCATTTGCACCTGCTGGATAATCTTGGGCAAGCCATAGTTCTGGCACAGCTGTTCTTGAAAAAGAGCAGTTTCTGTCAAGAACTCTCTCAGCCCCACCCACCTCACAGGGTGTCTGTTGTGGGGAGGGGAAGGGAAAGGAGTTTGTAAGCCGCTCTGAGACTCCCTTGGGTAATGAAGGGCGGGGTATAAATCCAATCTCTTCTTCTTCGTACTTCGATGGAGGAGGAAGAGCATCTCACTGCCTGCTTTGCTTTGTTGGACTTCCCCAGGGCTTTGGAGTGGCAGCCAAGTCCACACAGGAGTGCCGGAAGGTGGACCCCATGGCCATTGTTGTGTTTCATCAAGCTGACATCGGGGAGTACATACGCCACGAGGAGACTCTGACTTAAACAAAGGGGCAGGAGGCCTCAAGGACTTTTTGGCTAGGGT